GCATAGCACAGTGCCTGGCTCATAGTAGGTGCTCAGTAAATATGTGCTGAATTTGATAAAGATTGGGATACCCAGTATTCATTCCCCTTCCCCAGAAAAGGGTTTAGCATGATGGTAGGAACTGTTCCCTCTCGGTGACAGATAAGTGACTGGAGCAGAATCCACATCTGCTGAGATGACCTGGATGATCATGGATAAACAGGAAGCTATGTGACACACTGACAAGTGAGCCAGACAGAAAGAGAGACCTGGGGTCAAGTCCTGGCATCGCCCTTTCTAGCCATTGCCTCCTTGGACAGGTAATATAGTTTCCCTGAGTCTGTGTTTTCTTATCTGAAAAATGGAGTTAGTAATAATTATCTTCATGGGACTATTGAAAAAGTTACAATAAGATAACACAAGCAAAGCATTTAACATAGGATTTACATCACTGTAATCCTCAATAAATGTGATACATTCTTTAAAAAAGATGTCACGTGGGGCAAGTCACCTGTACTGGGAAAACTAGGGTTGGCTAAAACTCCCCACTGAGGTTTATTGTTACTTCCTCTTGGGAAATCTTCCCTGAACCTCTCAGGTGGAGTGACATCTCTGGGATCCCATCACACCCTGCATGTACCTCGGTTTTTTTCACTTAACCTGTGATTATCCTGTGTCTGCATCTTTTATCACACATGCAATTCCTTGAGTGCAAAGAAGATACTTTAAAATTTTTGTTCTTCCAGTACTTAGCAAATTACCCGGCACATAGTAGGCACAAACACCAATTCACTGGGTGAGTTGACCAGACAGTGAAATTTGAGAAAGAAGACGGCAAGGGTGAAAAGAGACCAAAGCTGTCTCTAGTTACAGCGTAATGTAAGTCCCCAGAGCAGGAAATGGCTGCTGTTTTCAGTCCTAGGAAATGAACGTTTTCCCCAAGGGATGAGTCCCAAAGGGAGATGGCGTCTACCTTCGAAGCGAAGTTTGCCTTTTCCAGCGAATAAAAAGAGTATTAGAGGCTTTGAAGCTGGGAAACTTTCTCAGCTCTGAGGAAAGGGTGTATCCCCTCCCACGCTGTGGTAACAGATTGGGTGGAACCACTTACCCGGAGCTTCCTGCCAAAGATGGTGACTTTGCCTTTAATCTGCTCCTTTCTCAGGCGCCACTCAATGGAGTTTAAGCCATTCTCCATAGGCAGGGAGATGTTGCAACGCCCAATGGTGGGGGTGATGGTGCCTGCCAGGACGTGGGGCTCGCTGTGAAAGCTGACACCCATCCCATTAGCATACATCACCCTTAGGGTACCATTATTACAGAGTTGGTAGCTGTTCCGCACTTGATCTGGAAAAATGTAAGTGGGGGTGGGGATAGGGAAATAAATTATCCACTCTGTTAGTCAGAAGAGAATAGAACCCTTATTTTTTTTTAACGGGTTTCCATGGTACTTTGCAGCCATCAGTCTAAGGCTGCCTTCAATTAGCACATATACCATGTGAAGGTAAGTAGCAGAGATACTACTGATCCATGTAAGAAAAACATAATACGTGGCACTCCAGAAATAATTATACCATGATGTTTCTTGTACTCACTGAAGACTATTGATAGCACATTTAAACACTTAAAGATGTCTATTGCCTACACAATTTGTGTCAATCAAATTCCCAAACCTTAATATATATATATTTTAGCTTATACAAAAAAAGAAAACATGAAAGACAAATGACTTAAATTTTTTCCCCCTTTTGCCTGCTATCTAAACCCAGTGTTGCTGGTCTAGCCACAGGTCAGATCCACTGCAAATCAAAGCCCAGGATTTTCTAATAAAATCAAGAGAAGAATCAACCTTCCCCATCCTCATGCTTTAACTGCTGACTGTGCCTGATACCACCTTCACTCAAGAGAACTCTGAAGAGACTCACATACATGAGGGAGATGGAGCCAGTGGGTGCTGATAATGTGTTTATCTTCCCCAATGGAAGCTACACGAGTCAATCAGACTTCTGACCTTTTCCTTTATCGAAAAGTTACAGGAAGGAAATGTGAGTCAGAGACTCCTTTTACAGATACACTGCTTCCTGGCTGTCTGGACAAAGGAGTGGCCTGGGCTGGCCTCTGGGATGTCAGCTTTTGGGGCAGTGAGCAAGTGTGTACCTGTCGCTCCTGTGGCTCCAGCCATCACACAGGACAGAATCTACATCATTAATCATTTGGCAGAGCAGAAATAGAGTCATTGAAACAGGCTCTGCTGTGGGATAATAGTCCAGAAATGTCACCATTTATCTACTGAGAGGACACTTTTATCCTCTAACAACAGGCTAGCCCACTGACATTATATCTTAATTAAAAGAAAAATTAATAGGCATAATTCATTTTCTGGCCAGCCCCAGTGCTTGCCCTGGACTGCAAAACATGTCTAATAGCAACAATAAACACAGGGTGGTCAGAGACCTTTGAGATCCCAGTCTTGAAGAGAGATTGTTAAAGAGCTCCAGTCCCAGGGCAACCAACTCTTCAAACAAATGCTTAAAAGAGAGAATCAGGATGGAACAAGAAAATAGGAAATCTAGTGGCGGGCCAAGAGAATAAACGGCCTTTGAGAAGATAATTATGCGTACTGGGTTGGTGGGGAGAGGTGGTGGTGGAAGGGTAAGAAGTAGGGAGTGAGTATGTGGGGAGGAAAATGACATTTTCAGGTAACTACGTAGACAGTTCAAATATCTAGACATTGGTTGAGTGTAGATGACATTCTGCTGTATCTGATTAAGTCATTTTCGATAAGATTGACTTCTTATAAGGTTAGTTTGCGGTGGACACTTGAATAAAATGGAAAGCTGAGGGGTATGCTGGGTCCCTGGAAGTCCTCCCAGGCTCACATGCTGGGCTTGGCTGGGCTCTGGGTCTGTGGGTGAGTTTGGGGGTAGGATGGCATGGGCGGAGGCTCACCTTGTACCACTGTGTAGGAGGCCTCAACTGAAGAGAGGTTGGTGATGACTGTGACATCATCGTCACGATTGGAGTTCTCAATGTCAATGGTAATAGATTTCTCCATTTCCCGGTGCAGACTGGTCACCACTCCCGTGGGGCGCGTCACGTTAGTCAGGCGGCCTTCATGGTCATAGCTGGGGGGAGAGAAACACTGGTTGGCAGCAGTCACTGGGGCTGAAAGTGTTCCCAAGACTCATAGGGCCAGAGAAAGAGAGAGCTGGGAAGGTGGGTTGGCTGGGTGGTACATCTCACTGAGGCCCCTGGTCACAGTCAAAACCCCATTGTGCCCTGAGAAACCCACTGATATAACTGACTTCAGCTCGTGGTAAACATTTCACCTGGTCTCAGGCTTCCTCCAGTTACAGTGTACAGAGAACAGCCACCTGTGGGCCTCTCTTGCTTTTATTTATTTATTTATTTTTTTTTTGAGACAGAGTCTCGCTCTGTCCCAGGCTGGAGTGCAGTGGCACGATCTCTGCTCACTGCAACCTCCGCCTCCAGGGTTCAAGTGATTCTCCTGCCTGTCCCAGCCTCCTGAGTAGCTGGGATAACAGGCACACACCACCACGCCTGGCTAATTTTTGTATTTTTAGTAGAGATGAGATTTTGCTATATTGGCCTAACCTCAGGTGATACGCCCGCCTTGACCTCCCAAAGTGATGGGATTACAGGTGTGAGCCTTGCACCTGGTCCTCTCTTGCTTTTTAATTCATGTGTTCTACAAAGCCACCAAATTAATATTCCCAAAATATCAATTTCACCGCATCAGTTCTCTACTAAACAAACACCACTCTTCCCATTGGTTGCTCAATCAAATAAAAATCAGGCATTTGAGACCATCCATGCCCTGATTCTTCTACTGGGGTCCAATGTTGTCTCACTTGTCACCTCCTAGGCCTCTGGACCGTCAGCTTGTGCCAAATGCCACCTGCACATGCTGGCTCAGCATAGAAAGCCTGGCTGCATGGAATCTGATCTTAGGTCCCTCAATCACCAATGGCTCCACTTCCCAAGCAGTCTTCTAAGACAGTTTCCCAGTGACTCCCTGACCATCAGTTGTCCTCAGTACCCAAGTCTAGGGACACTAGTGATCATGCCGTACTGCCTGCAAACGGCCTGACACTGGGGCCTCTTTCTTTATGTATATGTGTCAACTTTCCTCTTTTCTCACGCTGTGGTGTTTTCTCTCCCTTCAGCAAGACGCCTTGTAGTTGGGACAGCCTTTCCCCACCTTGGAAGACCCACTGTACTCTGAGAGCCGGGCCCTTCTCACACCTGGGAAAGGAAAGCAGGCTCATTCCAAGGTCTGCATGTAGAGACCTTTGAGCTCTCCCAGATGAGTCTCGTTACTGGAGGAGGAAGGGGAGGAAGAAGGCGGAGCAATGAAGACATTTGCTTGGAGGGTAAAAAAGAAAGATGAGTGGCTGGACCCCTGGGGATTACTCCCTTTGGACTGTGGGGAGGGAAAAAGCTGGCAGGTTCTGAGGGATGGAAACTAAAGCTTGTGCAGCACGTAGGGATATGGGGGTCCTCGGAGGAAGGTCCCTGTGGGGAGAGCCTGTGAGCAGTGGAAAGGAGCGCTGTGGCCTGTTTGACGTTGTAGCTTAGGGCTTAGGATTACAACATCAAAGACAGAGCGCACTTAGGAAGTGTTTTTGGAGTGAAGAAGCGCAGATCTGGCTCAGGATTTTGGGGATCTGAGTGATTTTGCTTCTGGGAAGAACTGGAAACAGCAAGCTCCGCAGAAGTTTGAAAGCTGAGCGTGCAATCACATTAAGCTGGACACCGGGCTAGGTCAAGGTGCTGGGGGAGAGAGGATGGAGATCCTGAAGCAGGAATCACTGTGCACTTAGGATCCACCCCTATCACTTGCCCAGGGCCCCAGGCAGGGGTGGCGCAGACCATGTCTTCCCTGGAAAGCCCTGGTGTTGTAAAGAGGGGTGGGGACTCAGGTCTGCTAAATCAACAGGGCTCCTCTGTGCTTTTTTTTTTTTTTTTTTTTTTTTTTTTTTTTTTTTTAAGCGGTTGTTCATTTTTCCAAAAATTGCACCAAGGTAAAGCAAAGCTCTGGTTGACGCAGGTGTATTGTTTAGCCGTTAGCAGTACTGCCATCACTATGTGCTCATTGGACAGTAGCACAACCCCAAGAAAAGGGTGGTTCCGTCTGTGCTTTCTTATCTGGAATTAAGGTAATTTTTACCTTTCTTACCTGTCCAGGCAGGGGGACAAAGGTGCTATTTACAATAGTGACAACTTAGAACCACCTAGATGTTCCTTGATGGCAGATTCGTGAAATAACTGATGATCTAGCCGTAAAGTAGAAACCTACGAAGCTGTCAAGACTGACAACATGGGTTTCTGTTTATCGGCATGGACAAATCTACCCATGTTGAGTGGAAGAGTGGAATACAAAATACATTCCCCTGACAGTAGCTTTTTTTTTTCAGGGAGGCGTAAAAAATGTCAGTATCTATAGGTAGAAGAAATTCTCTGAAAATATAGACATTTAAATGTTAATGGTGGTTTTGCTGTATGGAATTTTGACTAATCTTTATTTTCTTCTTTGCATTTTCCCATCATTTAGAAATTACTTGTAATTGGCTGGGCATCGTGGCTCATGCCTGTAATCCTGGCACTTGGGAGGCTGAGGCTGGCAGATCATGAGGTCAAGAGATTGAGACCATCCTGGCCAACATGGTGAAATCCTGTCTCTACTAAAAATACAAAAATTAGCTGGGTATGGTGGCGCATGCCTGTTGTCCCGGCTACTTGGGAGGCTGAGGCAGGAGAATCGCTTGAATCTGGGAGGTAGAGGTTGCAGTGAGCTGAGATCGCGCCACTGCACTCTAGCCTGGGCAACAGAGCAAGACTCTGCCTCATAAAAAACAAATTACTTGTAATCAATACTTTCATGTTTAATAAGCAGAAACAAAAAGTATTTAAAAATCAGAAAATAAAGCAATTCTAAGTATTTGGGTATGGGGTGTCTAGTGCGGTACTCAGTAACAGACAGTTCCTCCTCCTGCTGACAAGTACGTTCTCGGGATGAGGGCAAGGATTTTAATTCCAATGCACTGTAGTTTGGAGTCACAATGCACAGGCTGATGAGCTTCCTTCTGAGAGAAGTGGTAGGAACTGAAGTTTCTACTTTCGGGAACAGAGCTTTAGGGTAGGGACTAGAATCTCATGGGCCAAAGGGAGAAAAACAGATTTTCTTTAACTTTTAAGAAGATTCCGCTGCCTCCAGCTCTACTTTACTTCCCCCAAGGAGCATCTTCAGATGTAGGACTTTTTGCAAATAACTCTGCATGTAGGAGCGGGGCACTGAGTTCCAGCAATGGAATCTCAATGCCAACCCAATGGAACTGGCCCAGCCTTGGCTGGAGTGAGGCTGGAGGCTGCCTTTGAATTATTTAGTCAATACATATTCATCAAGAGCCTATGATGTCCCAAACACAGTTCAAGGCACTGAAGATATGGCTGGGAAGAAAACGGGGCAAAATTCTTGCAATCATGCTGGCTGAAGAGGGCAAAACTAAACCAAGATAGGAAAGAGAGAGTATGTCAGATGGCGAGTAATAGGTACTAAGGACTAAAATAAAGAAGGGCGAGAGTGGAGAGAGAATAGGGAGTAGAGGGTGTAATTTTAAGTGCGGTACTGTTCTTTTCAGGAATACAAGCTGATCTTCCCTAGTCTGGGAACTTAGCAGGCATGGTAGGGTTTCCAAAGGGCATTCCCATATCAGCCCGATTTCTGCCCAGCTCTCCACTTCCCAGGACAAAGAAGAGAGAGAAAGGCAACTTTTAAAGGAGCCCATTCCAGCCTTCATGAATTACATGCCAGCTTATTCTGTAAAATAACTCTTGAACCCCCCTCCATGGGAAGTCAGCTTCCATCGTTTCATTTGACCTGACATTTGCTCTTTCCCCAGTTGCTGGACTGGGAGAAGGAGTTGAACATGTCTAAAGAGGCTCTTTATCATTTCTGTCTTCTGGAGGGCCTGCCTTTAAGGGTGATGTGTTTTTCTGCCCCTCCAAGCCCCAAGTTTGCTAAGGCAGACTCCGCTCCTGCAGGGGACGGGAGACCAGCAGGCAGCACTGGGAGGTGGGAAGAGAGCAGGTGAAATGCAAAGTGAGGTGTTAAAAAGACCGAATGTGGTCAGGTGCAGTGGCTCACACCTGTAATCCCAGCACGTTCGGAGGCCAAGGTGGGTGGATCATCTGAGGTCAGGAGTGTGGTTTTCTTCGTCACATTTTCTCTGAAGTGTTGGCTAAGGCTATGCAGTGTTGGTCTTGACTGCACTGCCCTGACAGTAGGTTAAGTTGTGTCTGATTTTTAAGTTGGTTGTGTGTCTGCCAGTTGGCTGGTCATGTGCCAAAAGTACCATAAAACAAAAGGAACTCAGCATCTTTTCAGGTAGAAAAGAAAACCTTACGCATTTGAACCCCACAATGGAGAATTTGTGATCATTAGATTTATCTACATTATGAAAAAAGGAGCAACTTATCAAGTTAAGATAAAAAAATCATTCAGTTTCAATGTACCTTCTGAACATTTGCAAGCACATTTATAAATTGTGCCTATGTTTTCATTAAACTAGGGACACTTTCTGGAAAATCCTTTCCCTTTTAGAGTTCAGATCTGTGGATGCACCTGAATCCAAGCTTCTTTATGACAGTCTCTAAGCCAGGCCCAGTTCAGGCTGGCCTCCCTGAGAGGGAAGTTTTTTCCCCTTTCGGGAGAGCCAACAAATTATTTCTGAAATGCATTCGGTCTTTGGGTAGAACTGTCAGAAAGGAAGATGCAAATCCAGGAGGGGTTTGGGTGAGTGCATAGCTTCAACCTAACTCGGTGTGGGAGCCAAGGACGGCACTCAGATGGTACCCTCAAGGGCAGAATCACTGGCTGGTGAAGTTTGATCCAAACCCCAGGGTCCTAAAGGGCATTAAGATGCTTCAGAAGTCTGAGAAAGAGTTGCCCAAAGAAGAGTCAGAACTAGGGAAAGCAATTTTTCTGTAATGCAGCAAATATCCAGCAGGTGGCAAGAGCTTCCTTTTACATTCTCCCAAGTCCACTGGCACACAAACAGGAAGTGAACCTTGCTGGATTTAGGAATGATCAACAATGAGGTTTTCTGTTCTCCCTCCTGTCCCCTTTCTTTCTCTGTGCCAACCCTCCCTAACTTACTACATTCTCAGCTAGCAGCAGCATCCAGACAGAGAGCAAGCAAGGACTCCAACTACTTAGGGGTTAACACACTCTTTCATCAGCCAGGAGAGCCAGATATTTATAAATTCTGCTCCGGTCTCAGCCAGCCATTGGGAGAACTATGCCTAGTAAATTCCTTCGGCCAGCATCCCACCGGCTACTACCTACAGCAGCAGGCACTTTGACCAAGAACTGCCTGCAGGAGCTAGGAAAGACAGCTTTTTGCAAAACAAGCGGCAGGACTATTAACTATGAGATAATCGTTAGGGGAAATATGACCAGCTCTAGCATCTCTTAATATACCTAGCGCTTTATCCGTATTGATCTGCTTCTGCTAAAGAGGGAAGTCAGAGTTTATCTACCTGTCGGTGCAAGTGTGTTGCTGGACATATTGGCAAATTACGGGAGCCCCACTGGGATCTTGCCTTTTAGGTTCTAATTTCTGCACCCATGGCAAACATGAATAATCAGCAGAGTTAATCAACACTTTATCTCCCAGGTGCTCCGCGTGTCCAACATCCTGAAATCTGAACAGCAGGCAGGCAACAGGAATTCCCAACTCTACTAGGGAGGATGCTCAATAGCAGAGACCTAATAGAGCGAGTCATTTAAGAGTCTGGGAGAGGGGACATGAATATCTGGAGGCCATAAGAAATCATTAAAGTTAGGAAGACAACGTGAAAAAGCAATTGAAAAAGCGACATGAATGGCCAGCACTGATGCCAGCTAGGGCAAGGGAAGGGCTCTTCAGAGATGCTTTACCAACCCACTTACTCATAGAAAGTCGTCCATCCTGTTTCATCGCTCTTGGTGGCCAGGAGCCCAGTGTTCCCATCATAGGTCATGAGGCCAAGCTCTAGGCTCTGTGTGGACACGACTTTGAGGCCTCCATTAGTGCCCACGGTGAGGGTGATGATCTGGTTGTCAGGCATGAGCAGATGACGGGGCATGCCACTGCTGTCCCGACGGATCTTCAGGGAATTCCCATTATTGTCAATCAATTCAGTGACATCATTGTCAGCGCTATATGTGAAATTGTACAAGTACTCCCCTGTCACCAGGCTCACAGTGTATTGGTGGATGCCATCAGCGTTGAAGACGTATAACTCCTGCTCCCCGGGGGATGCAGCCTCATACTGGTTGAAGGCATTAAGAATGGGCTTGTTCTTGCTGACCGCCCTGATCCGAATATTTCCAAGGTCTGCGATATAGATGGTACCATCTGGAGCTACAGCTAAGGATGATGGGGAATTCAAGATGGCGTCAGTCGCATAGGCATCATCTCCTGAATAGCAGTTGCAATTGACATCGTTTTTGCAGTCACAGTCCGAGGCTGCCCCGGCTAAGAGGCAGATCTCCCCGTTGGTTGTTACCTGGCGTAGACGGTTAATCTTCTTCTCATCTGTCTCAGTGATGTAAAGGACCCCAGTGTGAGAAATGGCAATGGCACTGGCTGACTCCAGGGCAGAGTGAATGGCCAGTTTGCTGAGTGAGTAGTCAATGCCCGGAACCTGGCAGTGCATGGGGCGTCCCGCAATGATGCTGACTTGGTGGTTCTCGGTGATTCGAAGGATGACGTTGTTCTCTAGAACATACAAGGAGTTATCCATGGGATTGACAGCAAGGTCTGTTGGCCACTCCAGACGAACCTGTGGATGATGTGATATCAGGTTAAAGAACGGTCTTTAATACGTCCAGTGTTTAACTGTAGGACACTTACTGGTTTTATGTATCTAGGAAAAAGGACAGCTTTTTAATAACACACTGTATTAGAAATGCTTTTCACTGAACAACTCCTCATTGCCCATGCTGAGTGGGTGTGATGGAGAAGAAGAGACAATGAAATACATATTTTCTACGATGTCACCTGCCATGGCCAGAACAGGCCATCAGCTCTACCTGTGATGCTGCTTCTCAGCTCCAGACAGTTGGATCAGCATCAGAGCTGTC